CAAAAAAGATATTCTGTCTTTGCAAAAAAAAAAATCGTACCACTCGTTCTTCTCCCAAGACGAACAGAATCTACTTGTGTACTCTCACACAATTGGGCAAGGGAAATTTTTCGAAAATTATTAGTAATAGAATAGTAACATCGGAAATTAGAGGAGAAGTTTTACTCTTGTGGAAGATAGGGCATGAAGTTCGTGCACAGATTTGTGTGATTTATTTTCCAATAGATCATTGTGCAATGGTCATTGTTTTTCTGTTGTCCTTCTATATATATATATATCTTTCAATATGTTTATATCAGAGTTCAGTTATGCTATAATCTTTCCGAAATGAGCAAGTTCCAAAATTACCACAACTACTCAATGAATGATGAAATTGAATATTTTCTTATATAAAATTGTTTGAGCATAGCAGTTTTGATTCTTTGAATACATATATATTTTTTTCAAAATAAAGCAACTTCTTTTATTTTCACAGCAAGAGAAATCTTTGAAGGATTATGTTTCATGAAAAAAAATTTTGAATTTTAGCAGCAGAGTCTACACCTCTGCTTTCCTAATATTTGGCTGGTTTGAACCACCGATAGATAAAAATTAAAACATTTTTTTTTAGTCCAGGTATATAGCACGAAAAAAGCTTACTTCACATATCTCTAACTAAAATGATGATCATTTAATATGATTGTCTGTTTTTATCGCTATGCAATATAAACAATCATATGTTATTTGCAATATCATCCCATGAATTAGTACAAGAATAGTAACTTTTTAAAAAGTATCATTAAATAGCAAGATACAACAAATTGTGACTTACATCTTGTTTGCATTTATAAGACAAACACATGAGTAGACAGTTTTATTTAAATTGATTCACTTTTTTTGAACTTCATTAATATTTTTTTACGAAAACTTATCTTTTTTTTTGTTTTATTTTTTATCCAATACATTTCATGTGAGAGTGATTAGTTTTGGCTTGATAAATGACAGCATGCAGTAGTTCAGTAGCAAATCCTTGTTTTCTTTTTTTATAAAGAAGTATAACTGTTAAAATCCAATATTCACATATAGTAAAAATTTCAAATTTTTCATGCTGAAAGCATAATTTCATGAAGAGTTATGTATAATAGATTTGTTTCTGAAAACAAATTTTTATTCATATATTTTAATAATTATCACATATATTCTCTTTAACATCTCACACAATTGAATCAAATAGCACAAAAAAAAAATAATAATAATAAATAAGATAAATATTAATTCAACGAACAAAAAACAAAGCAAAAAAAAAAAATTCTTTTATTCTTTTCAATTGAATTTTTTTGAAAATTCACACATGCCTTATCATCGTACGTTCAATAAGATAATTATATTACATATAAAATTAATAAACAAGATATCTGACAGAATCTAACAATAAATTTTCGTAGAAAAAAACACAGAAAAACAACTTCATTTGTAAGAATAATCTAAAAGAAAAAAAAATAAAGGACATGTATTCTGTTAGATATCAAAAGCATTACTAATACATTATGCAATACATACGACTGTTGCCATCGCCTTCATTATTATTATTATTTTTTCCATTCAAATCGATAATTGTTCATCAATTGATGCATAACCCGAACTTGAACGTCTTGAACGTTGTTGATATTCTTGTTCATCAATTGTTGTTTGATCACCATTTGGTTGTATATATCGTGGTGCATAAATATAACCTGGTTTAATAATAATTGATGAACGTTTATATTCATCATGAATAAATGCACAATTTTCACCTAAGAAAATATACAAAAAAGAAAAAAACAAATTATTATATTTCATGATAGAAAAAAAAACAAAACTTTTACCATAAGGACAATTATTAGTCATATGAAAAAGTCGACATAAAACTGATTTATGATTTGCATTACGTAAATCATCAGAACCATGAGCAAATGTACAATCACCATCAAATTTACATGTACCAGTTTCAATATAATATTTACATAATTCAGTTTTATACTTTGAATTGCTTGTTGACCATGATGCAATTTTGGATTTATCAATAATAATAACTGGACCACATGGAATTTTTGAAAATGCTGTATTACGTGATAATCTCATATCCTAAAAGTAATAATAATAAAATTATTTAAAAGGAAAAAGGAACTTCAAATAAACTATTGAATGAAACTTACAAAAGCTCGAATATATCGTTTTAAATCAATTTCTTCATTATTGTAAAACATTAATTCAAACATAAGTTTATGTCTATAAGCTTCTCGTTGAGCTTGGTTAATAGATGATGTCAATGACATTTAGTTTGTTATTTTCAAAAGAAAATTTTTGTACATGCGTTTTGTTTCTTTTTTTGATCTTGCTGGTATTTGCTCTGCCCAGTCAGTGATAACAAGCCTATGTGTATATGTTTGTATATGAATGTCACACCACCGAACGAACAAAAACAGTAGATAGAATATTTTCTCTCATCGTCCAAGGTTTGAATTGAATAGATACGAACAGTCGAACAACGAAATAGTTGCTCAGACGGACGGATGAAAGAAAAATAGATGAAAAGTTTTTACGTATGCTTAGAAAAAAAAACAAACTAGAATTCAACTGCTAATGTTGATTCTGTATGAACATCAGTTGGTGACTATTAAATAATAAATGGAAAAGGTTTGGTTTAATATTTAGAACTGATTTTTTATTATTCAACGAAAGTAAAATGACTTTTTAAGATTTGTTTTATTGGCAAACAGAAAAAAAATTATATGCTGGAAGGTTATGACTTTATAATCAAAAGGATTTAAATATATATTAATACAAAGTATTGAAATTTGTAATTGAATATCGTCTTATAAAACAATAATATGAATCTATATCGATTTATTCACTGTTCTTATCTGAATTTATAAACTTAAAAGACACATCGAAGAAAAAAGAATATAGTATCACAGTTTTTATTATAGGAATTTTTAAGTGCATTAAAAGATGCTGCTTTCGTGTTTTATTAAGTATAGCCTTGAATAAAGTCAGACTATTGCACAGGATGATTAAATAAATAATAATTAAAATATAAAACACCGTATTCAAGTTTTATTTCCTTCTCAAAAAATCATAATCCTATGTAGATTATAATTTATAATACATCAGTTGTGTTATCGGCTAAAAAGCTTATAAAAATAATCGATAAATTGCCAAAAATCTATTCAATCCAAATATGATTTTTTTTTTGATAGAGAACATACTATGAACTCCTTCATTTCTAGGGAAAGAGAAAATAAATCTAGTCTTCTGATAAGACATTAATTTAAATATATTTTGTTAGTTCCTTAATAATTATTTTCACTATTATCTCAATACTACCCGTCAACAGATGCTTTATCACAAAAGACAGAATTCATATTTATCTCTCATAGTCTGCACTTGATACTTATAATTAATTGTTGTTTCTCTACAAACGAGACCAGTAGTCAAACTAGTTTCGAGCTCTGGACTGCATTTCTTTTTTCTACAAGTAGATTTTAGTAAAACAAAGCACTATTCAAGAGTTCATGATTATGATACATCTTTATTAAGATATTAACGTTTCTATATCAAAAAACAATGTTATTTTTTTTTATAAAATTGACTTCACAATCATAATGAGTCTGACGGTACTTTTTTTGTTGCACATAACATGACTAATCTTCTTTTTGTTGCATAACGTTTCGATTCATTACTTACAAATAATTCAAGTTTTACATCATGTTTCGTTATCATGAATACCACCATCAACAATAAACCCGAATTCTATTTGATGATTAAAAGCAAGCCAACTATTGTTTTAGACTAATATTTAATAAGTCTAAACATGACAATAATTTTAAAAAAGTAGTGTACATGTAAACAAAGAATAAAGAACAATAATATGAGACTAACGAGTTTATTATAGTTTTCTCTGCATGCTTTTTCTCAAACAAAAAGAACTAAAGTTCGAAATATTCGCCATTCTAACCTATAAAAAGACGATATTGTTTTTTAGTGTAAGAACAGTTATATTTCAATAATAATAGATTATAAGCACGAATTCTTTTGGTTTTTTTCTTAGTTCTACTGAAGTTTATTTGTTATTAAAAGATGAAGTTCACAGCATCATAATCATTTGGAGGACTTCCTTCAAAAGCTTTTCTTTCTGATGTTTTCTTTAGAAAAAAAATGCTTTTATTAAATCAAAATCATATTTAAATTATACAAAAATAGGTTAGACGAATCAGGATCTATGAGTGATCTTTAAATGATCGATACGAATAGCAACATGTGATTACTTGAAACATAAAATAAGGCGTTCTCAAAAAATGTATATTTACTGAATTTCACATATTAAAATGTTTTGATATAAAAAAAATTACTGTTGTTTTTAATTTTCTCGTTTTAGTTATTGCTGTGGCAGAGGTTTCACGAATGATTCCTCGATCATCTAAAAGTTTACCTACATTTTTAGTATTAGCATTTTTACGAGAGTCATTAGTTGGAACTTCTTTACTAGCAACTTTCACATCAGCAACTTCAGCTACTTTGATAGTTTTATCGGCAAAATACAAACGTTAATGAATATTAATTTACTTGTGACGAACGCATTGTATGTTTTCTTATTGCTGATTGTTTTGCAGTATAGTTACGATTGCTTATAACTTAGAAAATAAGTTATTCTAACTACAATTGCACTCATTAATAATATGAATCTAGTTTTCGAAATATATTTTTCTCAATAGAACCAATAGGAAATTAATCATCAAACAGTGGCCATATGTCATGACATAAGGAATATTATATGTGTAAAATAATAAAGAGAAATTATAAAGACATAAAAAGAGAAAAAGAATGGTTTTTCTTCGTTCTATAAATAATACAAATAAATTTCTAGGTCTTATCTAATGAATAATATAGGAATTAGTTTTTTTTTTCTACATAAGATTAAATTTTTTGAAGTTTTATTTTAATTAAGCAAAATGCAATACAAATTCGTTCATAAAAAGTTTTTAATTAATCGATTTATTAAAATCTTCGATTTCATGTTCAAGATCTTTCATTGCATTAGCATCATCTTTATCCAATTTGTATGATGATGATGGTAATTTTTGACCTTTTTTAAATGATTGATCTTTTTTATTTAAACCAAAAAGACCTTTAATAAAATTACGTTTAGCACCTTTTTCACCACGTGCTATATTCATCAATTGTTGTAATTTTGAATGTTGTTCAGGTGGAAAACCACTTGCTACAGTTTCTTCATCATTTTTATCATCATCTTGATTGTCGGTTGGTTCTGGTCCATCTTCATTATCTACATCTGTATCGTAAGCAGGAGTTGTGGTAAGTGAACCATATTTATCTTTAGACTTATCACTACCATGCTTTCGATTAGGGGCATTACAACCAAGTAAATTAATTGCTTGTTGAAGTTGAGGATTCATAATACCCATTGTTGAAGCTAGTTTAACATATTTATTTTCACATACATCTTTCATATTTCTTGCAGATAATGCTTGTTGAATGGCCATACCAACAGCAGCACCTTTATTGTTTTTAAGAAAATTTAGTAGAAATAGATAAGAAAAAAGCAATAGAAACTAATTTACTGAGCATTGAAATAACTATTGGATTTTTAAGTAATTCACGAAACTTTGATCGTTCACGTGGTGACATATCAGCTTCAACATCACGATTCGATTTACTACTACCACCAAATAATTTTGAAAGTATACCTCGTTTCTAAATAAATGATTATATTATAATTATAAATTGATAATTCTATTAATAAAACAAACATGAATAACATGACTTTGTGTTGTTAGAATAGTCAAAGTTAAAAACCAAACGAGAAATAATCCTCGAGACCACATCAGTTTGTTCCTGCTGTTGTTCGAATATTTCTTTTAAAGAGAAACAAGATGTGTCTATCGTTTATATCTCTTTATGTCTATAATGTGTTGATGTGCATATCTTGCTGACAGTTATGTGTAATCTTTTCGTTTATTTTTTTTCTTTCATCACTTAACAGAAGATTACTAATGATATACTTATTGGCTTCTATAGAAATAGAAAACGAAAATCTATTTATTCATATGAATAATGCCATCATGACCAATTGGATGCATATAAAAGGATCCGTAATATTTTTGTCATTTTTTTTTTTCATTAGACCATTGATTTTGATCAATAACAAGATATACGTGTAATTATAATAAAAAAATAATCGATATTGTTTGTATTGGATTGAAGTTTTGATATCGAAGAAATGTCTATATGCTCTTCATTCACACATTATTCATTTGTAATTAATGACAGTTGAGTTGTTAGTAAAACACAATCTAAGGTTTGCTTTTTATTGTATTTGAGAAGGAACATATCTGTATATAGAAACTAAAAACTTCTAGTGATCAATAGGACGTCTAGGCATAATTTTGATCGATAAGGTAGACATGTCATCTATTCCACATGAAACAAGTATTTTTCTTAAAAATATTAAATGTATGTATTAATCGTGACACATAAAAGTATAAAAAAATTAAGAGAATAGCAATCAAAACCAATTTATTGAGCAAGCCAGAGAAAAAAATTCACATCTTCTTTTTTACATTATTAATGTTTTCTATCGTTAGTTGAATTGAAGAGTGTGATGGAGGAAGTGATGTTTGTTTAATATCCAGTGCCTTTTCTAGAAATTCAAGTGTCGTCGAGCAGTTACCCATGTTGTCATACACTTGACCGATGTTGTGGTAGGATGTAGCTAAAATGGAATGATGCGGAGGCAGAACTTCTTCTTTTATTTTATGTGCTTTATCGAGAAATTCAAGTGCTTTCAAGTAGTCACAGATACCGTTATACACTTCACCGATGTTGTTGTTAGAAGTAGCCAAATCGAGATTATTCGGAGACAGAGCTTTCTCGAATATTGTATGTGCTTTGCTGTAAAATTTTAGACCTTTGAAGTAGTCATCCATGTACTTATACGATAGACCAATATTGCTGTAGGTAGAAGTCAATGAAGAATGATCTTCTGGGAGAGTTTTTCGCCTAATTTCGAGTGATTTTTCGTAAAATGAAACTACTTCTTTGTATTGTCCTTGGTGATATTTCAACATTCCTTGCATATGATAGGTGTGTGCTCTATCACTGTCACTGGAAGCGTTTTTGAATAATTCATTGTAGAGTTCTTCAGCTTGATTGAAATAACCCATTTTGAGCATCAGTTTACCCATTCGATACCATCCGTCACCATCGATGCCATCTCGTATGCTTTTGGTGAGAACAGCCAGTTGTCGATCATTGTCGTCTGTGAGAGTTAATTGAACCTCCCATAAGGGACTACCGCTTTCCGTCGCTCTGATTTCATCGACACGAAAAATAGTATGCATTGAAAAGAGGATTTCTTCCTCATGTGCATGCCTTACTTTCTTGAGAAATATAAGGTATTGTATTGTTCATTCTTTGTCTGAAGAAATAATGATTTTTGATTTATATAGATATTTTTCTAGATTTTCTATGTTTTTCATGCAATATTATGTTTCCTTGCTAGCTGTACGAGATATATTGGGCGTGGTAATCGATATTTTTTGACTTATATGTATTGCCTCACTTTGTATCATATAGAATTAAAAAAAATGGAAGAGAAAAGTTCAAAAAGAACATTAGTACTGAGATTATAAACAAGAGAGTTGCAGTACGCAAAAACTACATATTAGAAAAACAGAGAATATTTTCTAATTAGTTTGATACAACGATATATAACCAAGACGACGAAACACACTGAACTTATGCATTGCCGTGCATGCTTTTCCCTTAAGGTTATTTTTGGATTAACCTTTAGTCAAGAACCTATTGAGCGATCGATTAATGATCGAAATTGAACCATCTCGCAGTGGTATAAGCGCGATCAAATATACTGGGTACATTTGGATCTTAGGATCTTACCGTTTTTGTACTTCAAGAATACGTACTAATAATATAAATTAAATTGGAACAATAATAATTATTGGGTTTTTCAAAAAAATAAGTAACAAACATTCCAAAGAATAGATTCGAACTACCTTTTCAGAATGTGCCACCACGAGCGCCTCGCGTCATCCTTTGATGTACCATATATTGTGTCACAAAATATGGCACATGCGATGTGTATTTTATTAATACAAATGTCTATTGATGGAAAACACAGAAGCTGTTGATTTAGTTTCGGAAAAAGACAATATTTCCGATAGACTCTGAAGTGTAAAAATAAAATTCACTTTTTCTGATTTGAACGTGAATATTCTCTTGATCCATACTCAAAGAAGAAGCCCTTCCACACCGTCTTCGTTGATTTCTTAGCCTCATTTGGTAGGTCTCGTTCATATCTATCGATTAATATGGAATTTCGAGTGGTTCATCATGGTAGTCTATTAGTAATATGCAAGAAGAATCATATCATTATAAACGGAAAGGCAAGGAACAATCATTTCTCAGATGTTCATGTACCATTCGATAGAGAACTGAATGGAATATTTTGCATACACTTAGTAACTTAATCTTTTGGAGGAAATAAAATATGGACAAATTTCGGTTAACTCAATCTCTTGCTACACAATACAGAATACATTAAAAGGTTTGACTTTGTTAGTCAAAAACTTCTGATAATCAAAATAACAAAGTAGCTAAAATAACATTGAATTTTATGAGGGTGTAAGGACGATTGTGCTCATAAATGTATCCTCTTTTCTCAGGGGCTTGCTTGTTTTTCAAGTTTTAAGATGATTAAAATCAAAATAGCATAAAAACTTAACCACCAGTCTACTCGATAAGTTGATTTTGTTTATTATAACTACAAGGACAGCTGATTATAAATAATGTATCATATAGATAATAATTAAACGATAAATCAGCAACGTTGCTTAAAAATATGTTTTTACGTATTAATTAATTTTGTTCTTCTAATGATGTGTCATTTTTGCTTTTCAATTTCGATTAGCGAATCGGTTGAAACGTAAATAATTCTAGTTTCCGATAAGATCGATAGAAAAGAAATTTGTTGTTATCAAGAGTAAATATCTCGTGAGAAAAGATTTGTACAAATAATTGTAAAAACGATTCTTTGCTTTTTTTATAAGATAAGATATTGATTTGTTCGATGATCGACATCCGTACTCTCTCATTGCATTTTTCAATCGAGTGAAATTCGAATGCCATCTAGCTGTAGTTTCATTTTCATATTTCTATAGATTGATCACAATTGTCAGAAATTTCGTTAGACTAAAACTTGCCGAAAGACCCGTCATGGATTCTTTTACTTTGATTAAATATGAGGTATTTACAGAAAAGTTTAAATTGTGGGACTCAATGAAAAGTAATCATCATCAAAACAAGAGATATGTTACGAAACAATTGTGAAAAACGTTATTTTGTTTTAACTTGAATCATTTGGGAAGCATAATCATTTATTTGAATTCATAGGAACAAGTAGATGATTTTATCGTTGTCAAAATGTCTACAAAGGGCACTTTGAGTGAAAAAAAATAAATGACTGGAAAAAACCCTAAATGAATCATTTTTCACTTGTCTTCGGCAATTTCCAACGTGAAAAACGGAAGAAAAGACCAATAATAAATGTCACGTTTTTTCTATAAGCATGAAGTAGATATAAAGGTAATATTGTTTCGTTCGAAAGTACCTTTAAGAAATACTTCGATTACTCACACTTTATTAGATATATGTCAAAAGTAATAAGCTATATTTAGAGAATGAATGCATGTATTTCCTTTTATTTTCAGAATTTTTTTGTGATTTTGAAAATTCATAATGACATAAAAATAGATAAAGTAGATATATTGCTGTGTTGAAACTGTCATACAATGACCAACAATATCGGTGAGACAATAACAACGGCTAAAACATTTCGTTTTGCTGCAGGCCAAATCTTGACTCTTGATGAAGATAAAATCGAAAAAATTCCATATTTAGCTGCTATTGTGTCTTCTGCGGATTGTTTCGAATCAACACGCGACAACCTTGGCCATTATAAACTCGATCCACACATCGAATATAAACACTTTTGTTTTGCTCTCGAGACGCTTTCATTTCATTCAGTTCGACAACTATTTACTCATCTATCGAAACAGAATCATATTATACCAATAATTGCTCTTCTCGATTTTCTTGGCATTGGACCACAACCAGATCCTACTTTGCGGGAAGTCGATTCTGTTTTCTTTTCAACTTTAGTATACAGTCCTATGTTACAAAAATACTTACAGATAATTAGACCATGTGTTCTTCAAGACATGGCTGTTCGATTCGCAATTGCCATGGCTAAAGAAGAATATGATTTTACTAATTGTAAAGTGATCGATCAAATACATTGGTTTATTATGTTTATTCTAAGTGCTTATGAATTATTTGGATCACGTCTTCGTTATCATGTATACAAAATTGCTGAACATTGTTTTTCTATTTTCAAACCTTCGCTATTAAAATCTCTCCAGAAAATTATATATAAAATAGAAAAAGATGAAAAAATATTTCTTTCAGCATCAAGTGAAGACGATGTTGATCCTGATGAAGACAACAAACGTTCTTTGGAGCAAATTCTTGACATATCGTATCCAAAGATATCTTCTTTCGAGTATTCAACATTAAAACAGCGGCAGGAATTAATTCTTCATCGAACATACACAGATAAGCATCGGATTTGGTTTAGGAGAACATTTGAACAGACGGAAATTCTGGAACCAGTATATCGGCGTGTACTAGAGATCATGTATGAGCGTTTACAAAGCGAAATATGTCAACGCGTAGTAATTGAACTACGCAAAAGGAAAGTTTTACATAACAACGTAGAAGAATATTTCGATTTAGAGTATTATTTGTTCCTATCAGACCACGAAGGTTTACCAAAAGCAATATATGACATATTTAAACATGAACGAATACAAAAAGAAATACATGAACGTATATTAGAAGAAATATGCATATTAACACCAAAACTAGAAAAAAGACATAGTGAATTAGTGACACAAATACGACAATATGAACAAAGTCATGATATATTTCATGGAAATGGATGGAATGTATTCGATTTCTATCTCTTTGGTTCTTCATTTTTTGAAAGTCTACAAGAAGAAGCTTTATCTTATGAACTCATACTTGACAAATTACGTCATGGTTCAAGCATAGAAACAGAAATGTATCAACGTGTAATTGATGCATTGCATCGAACTGCTCTAACACAGTTCGTACATTGGAAGAATACCCATCAGGATATAAGTAAACTACAATATCAATTATCAACATGTCATTCAACAGGAAAATATCCTTCTGTTATATTAAATGCCTTAATAAATCCAAGCTATCAAATTTCCGAACTCAAACCATTACCAAAACTTCAATATAAATATTCGATACGTCAGTTAAAAAAATTTCGGTCATAATTATGTATATTTAAGAATTTTTAAATGATATGAAGTTGAACATTAAATTTTTGTTTTCTTTTTTTTGTTTGAAGATATAAAAGTATGTAATGAAGTATTCAATTTTGTGATTTATTTAAGAATATCAATAGAATTCAATATTAATAAGCTAAACTAATGACTTCCTACGAATAAAGATACTTATTTTTTACTATTTGCAAGAAGACAATAAATATGTATGTACCTTCTACTTATCAGTTTTAACGTTTTTTTTCAAGTACTTAAGATCAAAAGATGCTACAAGGTTGCTTCTAAGTACAATGTTGGCAATAGTATTTTTGTAAGTCTTTTCATAATCAAAGAATTCAAAGTTAAACTACAGAATGTTCTTGTTTCTATGTCAGTTTAATATTATAATGTATTAACAATCATTTCAAGAAGTCATTCGTCTCTGATTCAATTTTGGTAATAGCTTATTGATTTCTCACAAGTACCACACATTCCCATTATACAAAATAATTAGCATCTAATAATAAAAGAAAACAGTTATATCTGCATCTTTGTAAAATTTCAATATGTATCATATTTATGGCTATGCAAGTGTGTTTTATTTCATATTTCTACTGCAATGTCCTTGCTTGCGTATTTATATGCACTACGCTCGGCATACAATATAGTGGTTCGCACATTAATTCAAAAAAAATTCTCTTCTAAATTCTATCATCATTTTTTAAGAATCCATGCTGTATATCATTTCATTTAATCTATAATTCTTTCATTTTCGACATATTCAACTACTATTTTATTTTCAAAATTATAACTATGGTATTATGGAGTATGTTGATGCTAATCACTGTCAACTAATAATTGTTTCTTTCTGTTTGTGACATTACAAAAAACATTTCAATAATTCTTCTCTTCTGCTTTGTTTGTCCAACGTACATGAGTTAGAAAGAGTAACGCATACAAACAATCATACTTCTCACATGTTATTTTGTCTTGCCAATGCCTTCCGGAGAATCCTATTCAAGGACTTAAATTTATCGTGAAACTTCCAACATGAATTTTATCAGAAGAAAGATGATGATGTTATTCTGCAAACTGTATGTTTTAATTACTTTTCAATTCATTGATAATTCTTTAGACAAACGAATGCGTCTGTAAAAGAACATCACTGGAATCTAAATTGATAAACTTTCCATTAGCTAAAGACTTGATAATATAAGAATGAAAAAAAAAATGGAAACATATTGGGATGCAAATAAAAACTTTCCATAAAATAAAAGGAGAATAGTGTCATTCAATATGTGTTCGATCAGACGATTCGAGAATTTTTTAAGGCTATTCAACAACTCTTGTTTGTCTATGTTCATGTCGTTTAAACATATTCCGTTCATTCTCTTAATAAAGCATGATATTTTTATTGAAGCATGAAACAAAAAAAAGTTTTGGATTCATTATTATAGATATTTCGAGTTATCATTGTCGTTGTTTGATAACAATATATTTTTAACTTTTTGCTGCTGTTTCTTTTGTTATTGATGGTCTTATAGCACGAAGAGATTTACTTGATGTCAATCCCTGATTGCGATATTCAATTAATTGTCTTGCATATTGTCGAATAGCATGTCGCTCATTTCGACTACGTAAAGTTTCAATCCAATAATCTTTACATGATTGAAGACAATTTGGTAGTGTATTTTCTATGATAATTTCTCGTAATATTTGTTCAAGAAAAGGAAATTTAAGATATTCATAATCAAATTCACCCAAGCATTTTAAAATACGCTAAAAAATGTATAATATATGAATGGTTTTCTAATCATAAGCTTGATATTTATAAACTTACAGTAATACGTAAATAATTATGTGATGATGTATTGAGATTATGAAAACGTGATTTATAAGAATCACCAGATAAACGATCAATTTCACCAGTTTTTTTATCGATTAATTTAAAACCATAAAAATCAAGCCTAATATATCAATTTAGAAGATGATTTATTTATAAAGACTAAAATTTCGTTTGTAAGAAAAAAATTCATTGGTAGACTTACATCAGTTCATAAGATGTAAGTATTCGTTTTAATGCTTTTTCGTCTTTTTTTATTGATTCAATTTCATGTTTTTGTAATGGTTCAGTATAACAATTAAGTCCTCTTTCTTGTAATGGAAATAACCATTGAGTATAACCATGATGAAATTCTAATCTATCATAATCACGAAACCATAGTTTATGTATATTATCAATAAGATCACCATCTGGATAAGATTCTAATTGATTTGTATAAAAACGATAATTTTGTGTTATTTTCGAATCTGATCGTACACTTGGATAATTATTACGATATTCAAGTATATCTCGTCTAGCCCATGAAATATAACTTGAAGCATCATCATCATCGGAATCATCGAAAGTAATACGATAGTTAGTTAAAGAAATTATTGATCGATTATTAGTGTCAGATCGTTGTTGATTGACATTATTTTTATTATATTCATCATTATTTATGACTCGACTAGAAGTTTTCGATGTTGTTGGTTGATTGGAATCATTAGAGATATTACTTCTCTGAAGACATAAGAACTTATTTCATTAGAAATGGACAACAGTCAACTAACCGTTTTCGATTGATTTTCAGTATTTAGACGAGTTTTGTCATTTCTTATCTCAGTTTTATAAGCTGTATCCAGTGTATGTTGTTCATGATATGGTATTGTTGTCTCTTCTGAATGAATGAAACAAGTATGAATCCATACAATATTCACTACATTTTTTGAAAATGTTAGTTTAGATAAAGCTGGAAGAAACAGTATAAATTAATTCTCAACTAGAAAATATCTTTTGATCCAAATGACATTTATGAATGAACTATGATTCGCAAATCTAAATTGAATACTGTAGTGTTGGCAAAAGCAAAGGATTTACTGCCAGAAGATTCATTCATGTTAAATTTACATATTGGGATGCAACTATCGATGATTCAAATCATATGTTACTGAAGAAAGTTAACAGAATAGATTTCTAAAACTACCTCTTAAAGTAATATTCATTGTAGTATCTTATCATTCTCGACGATATCAATTCTTCAACGATCCATCACACTAGAATGATGATAGATTTATCTTTCATCAAGTTCTATACACCTGTATCTATTTCACAATAAAAAAAACCCATTAGGTCAAGAAAAACTGATACAATGAAGATTAAGCAGTTTTACTGTCTCCTAACAATGAGACATGACTATGAATATACCAGCAACATCTCAGTAAGAATTCAAAAAAATCAAATCTTTACTTATTACATCGTCACTATCAGTACAACTGTAATTCGTAAATACATACCACGTTGTACCTTCGCAATAATATTGGTCACAAGTGGTGTTGAATCTTCTATAGCATAAAAATTTGGTGGCTTATACAGTGCTTCTGTCAGTTTTGCCAGTTCTAGCTTCCATTGAGATAAATCTATTCCACAGTTGTCGTTTCTACTAGTTTGTCTCAATTGATCAGTCAATTTATCCAATTGACGTTGTATCTCAGCAATATGTGTAGTAGTGGATCGTAGTATTAGTTGTTTGGCTTCTTCTGCTGTTTGTCGAATTTTGTTAATCGAGTGACGCTCCCACTGTTCAATCTGTTGTATTGACGACTGGTTTTGTAACTGAAATCTTTGCTCAACAAGTGATTGTCGCAAGAGATCACAAGTACTTCCAATTTCATCTAATTGTTTTCTCAGTTCATCACGATGATCCACTAAGTGACTATAGCAAAAGAGTTTTGAACATTCTCTACATTTTGATAGGAAGCCTTCTTTTTTACATATCGTGCAATGGTTATTATTAACATTTGTAGCCATGTGTTGAATATATTGACATACGTTTGTTGGAGAAAAGATTGTGAAAGAAAAAAATCTCGTCTTGTGTCAACGTCTGACACAGAAAAAAAAGCGTGAGTTGTTCTTCAATAAAAATTCATATAGAAAAAAAACGACAAACGACATTTGCGACACAGTATTTGTGTGTTTCAAATATATATTCACAATAATGATAATAGTTAATTTTGTGTGTTGAACATTCACTTTGTATTAATAAGCATTTAGATGAATAAATGGAGTTCGTTTTAGATTTTTCTAGTAGTTTGTAATCATTCTGATTTTAACAGAATTATATGTACGTCTTTTATTATAATCTATGAATGAAAATCATCATCAGTACAAACAATTTCATTGGCTACTGCAAATCCATAATGATGACATTGAAAGCATGATTCATTTTTACAACAAAAAAGAAATAACAAAAATAAAAATCAACAGTGTTTATTTCAAGTGGCCCTCTTTGATAGGAAAACGTTATTGGGTATTTTAGTTTTGATAATAAGTTGTCTCGCTTTTCGAATGCATTGTCCCAGTTATGTTTCGTTGTGAGTATTTACAACTGTCAATAATCATCATAACAATGCGACTGACAACGATGAACAGTTTGTCTAGCTTACTTATCTCAATCAACATTTTTCCTGTTGTTTGTGAAAGTATATTCATGTAAAGATTGTCTTGATGGTGATATGTAATCATTGAAACAAGCGACTTATTTAAACTGTTACTTATTTCAATAGAATGTGCCTTAAGTTACATTATTACGTAGTAAAAGTGTTGAAATCAAATAAAAACATTAAAAATGTAAATTTTAAGAAAAAATACATTGATCTTAAAGGCTATTTAAACGCTGCTAACAAGTATATTCGAGTTTAACTTTCAAATAATTGACATGAAAATAAAGTGACAAGGTTAAATATTGTTAATTAACAAGAAATCATCATATTAAAAAATAAATCCTATTTTTTTTTCACATCAGTTAAAACTTTATAATCAGATATTATGACAATTCATCGCATTGTTCGAGAAAAAAAGAGATCTTCAACAATATTATTAACATTTTATTATGGTTCAAATTCAATTAGGCGAAGTCGATTTTGGATCGATATTGAACGTTTGTATACGATGATTAGAGTTATCAACGACATAGAGATTGCCATGTCGATCGATTGACAAACCCATTGGACAATAGAACTGGTGAGCTTCTGCTCCTTCTCCATTTCCACCAACAATAATAGTACCTTGAGTAGCTCCTTTAGGCCAACTTAATACACGAGCATTACTCCAATCTACAACATAGACTGTACCCAACGAGTCAGTGAAGACTCCACGAGGAGATGATAATTGTATTGAGCCTTTCTTTTGATCTGGACCACCGGCAACAACAATACCTTCTTTTGCACCTTTCATCCACTTCATTACACGATGATTTTCCGAATCGGACACGTAAACTGAATGATCCCGATCGACAAATGTTGAAGTAGGAAAGCTGAGTTGATCCAGACGGCTACCTCTACCATTACCACCCGCTACCACGGTTCCACTCTCATCTCCCATTCGCCATCGTCTTACTTCATGTTTCTGTGAGTCAGAAACATATAGAAATCCATGATTATCCATCATTAATCCCGAACAGTCAATATCAGATATGAGTATTTGTCCGTTTGTGCCATTTCGACGAGGCCATCGCATTACTCGTCGATTACCATAGTCAGAAATGATGAGACAATCTTGTTCTTCATCAACAATAACGTCTGATGGATTATTCAATTGATGAGTTCGATTTCCTAATCTATTTCCACCAGCAACAACTTGACCACTCGTTGCTCCATACTTCCATTCCATAATACGATGATTTGAGTAATCAGCAATATACATAGTCTGGTCACTGTCAATGTAAACATTTCGTGGATAATTTAATTGATTTAATCCCACACCTCGTCCATTACCACCAGCCGCAGTAATACCCTTTTGTATCCATTTTGTATTAGCACTAATGTTTGGTACATACAGTTGTGCTATAATCAGATCAAAATTTCTGTTTTTTTAAAACATTATTGTTTGAAGTGCAGAAAAATGTGTTTGAAACAAATAGCTTAAATTTTTGTATTTGCTTTTTTTCGACAACACTTAGCAACTAATTTTCAAAATATTTTGAGCAACAAATATATAACTTCAATTTTGATTTTTTCTTTTATTTCAAGCTCGCTCTGTTGGTGAGACTTCAACGAATTAAATAGAAATTGATGTATAATTTTATCAGACTGAACTTTAAATAAGAAACTTCAGGAAATAGCTGATTACTCCTTAAATTCATATACGGCAAAAGATGTGCGAACTTTTCTGTTTCTCATACAGAATTCCATGTATTTTCCTAACATTATTCTCGTCACTACAAATATTAAAAGTATAATTACTAGTTTTCATGTGGACAAAAATCTTCTGCACAAGTGATGTAGAATCTTGTCGCAATGTGATATTCGATGGATTTGTGAGTTCTTTTTTTAATCTATATAGTTCTTGTTGCCATTGGCTAATATTTGTTTCAACGAAATTATTTTCTTGACGAGTTTGCCATATTTGATTAGTCAAATTATTCAAGTGAAATTCTGTGTCGATAATATTTTCAGTAATATACTTGAGCAGTAGTTGTCTAGCTTCTTCTGCTGTTTGTCGAACTTTCTGAATAGAGTCACGTTCCCATTTATCAATGTGTTGCATCACTGAATGCTGTGATGACGGAGATGATTGCTGCGTAAGCATTTGTCGAAAGAGATCACATGAGACTTCTACTTCGTCTATTTGTTTACTCAATTCTTGACGATGATCTGCAAAATGACTGGAGCAAAAATCTTTTGAACATCCTTCACATTTCGATTTGGCTTTTTCTTTGTTGCATATAGCACAACAATTTTTTTCAATAGTTGTAGCCATGTGCTTAATATGTTGAGGATGATGTGTTGAACAATAGTGGTTTGAAAGAAAATAAGAAAGAACAGAAAGCAATAATATTTTTTTATAGAACTTCAATTGTCGATGTAAGAAAGTGAATCATTTTTAAGTAAACATTAATATAATGTTACAGAATAGTAAAAGAGAGTTTTTTAGTAAAATCTTCTTTCAATCGAAAAATGTGTTTGCAATAGTACTGTTAAAAACAACTTCATCTATCGAACATTTATTTTATGTGAAGGCTCAAGTGCAGTGATGAAAGGAATCAGTAATCATTATGATATCACTATAACAACAATTATTTTCATTCATCATTACAAATTTGAGTCAGCTAAATTACATGTTTTTTGTTATATATATTTTGTAGAGCTCATCAAGTTCCACAAGAATACATGTATTAAATCTATATAGTTTCGAATGAGATAACTCATCAACATTCTAGGATCATTGTGGTTAAAGAAAGTCCATTCAAACTTTGGTATCCTAAACAGAACGGTTAACGCATTCAGAACCTCACGTCTTACGATAGACATCGTGAGATCATCTGATGCGGTAAATCATAGGATAATAGTACCGCCTCTGATTTTGCTTTAGTTACTGGCACTCAACCAATAAGTCACTAATGTGATTATAGCTTCGGATGAGTGTAGCGAGATCGGCATATCATTATACGTATCTTGTATTAATACTTAACGGACTGAATGTTAAAACACATGTCTTCAGTAAAGGACTTTCGATTGTGTCTAGAGATTGCCTTGTCAGATGCTTTTTCAAAGTTTCTGAATCTCAAATAATTAATCCTTGTTGTAAATCTTATTGGTTTCATTTATGTTTTTCTTGTGATACTTTTTTAGGTTAATATCCTAAAAAATCCATACTTATGGATTTCAAACAAAAACAAAACAATGAGATGATCTTAATTTCCCTTTTTTGTTTGATTCAATTATCTATTTATGCTTCCCATGTGTGTGCTGTTCATTGTTTTCTTTTACTTTTGGAACTCGACAACTGCATCATTGAAATGTAAAAAAAGAAAAAAATATCAGCAATATGCATCACGTTATGATTCACTGGTTGTTTTCTTTGTAGCAGAAACTAAGTGATTTGTGGCAATATTAGGTTTGTTTACTATCATGTAAATTAGAGAAGTCTGTTGAAAGTATTTTTCTTCGTGGTACTGTTTGACCTGTACAGAACAGCGATTTATCAAACTTCTTTGATAAGGATGATTAAGTTTTTGTCATATGATGACGAAAAGGATTAAAATAAAGCATGATGTTCCATGAGTTTTTACAATAAACTATTACTTAGTTTTAATTCTATTACTTGAGTAGCAATCCAGCTATAATGAAATCTCAGAATATATCAGTAATATGTGTTTATAATTCTTTCTAAAATACTGAATTATGTAGACAATAGTTTGTAATACATGTCAATGGATTGATTGAATTTTTCATATTCATATGATTATAATCAATAGAAATATGGAATCATCCATTAAGGATGTTAAGGTAAAAAACGCATTTTCTAACTCCCCACTTCTACACGTTCACTGTATCAAAAGAAAGCAACTTTCTGAGAAACCTGCTTTCTCAAATATACTGCTATTTTTTTCTTGAATGGTAGTTGATGAAATATATATGTATGAAAAATGAAAATGCTAATATGCATATCAAGAGAAAAAAAAACACATTTCACAAATAAAATACAACTAGATGGTATTCGAGTTTCGACTCGAATACGAAATGCGGTGCGAAGCACGAATCTCTCGAATTTTTGAAAAAACGATATTTCTTAATAAACGAGAATTCGATTTACTAAATTATAGTGATCGCTGTTTTTTACTACAATTAGCTACATATTCCGTAAGATAGACACTTTTCGTCACCTTTATCCAGGAGCTCATCTCATCTAGATTCGAAACGAAAGCCGTCCATTATAAAATTCATCACTACAGAAACTCTATGGCAGTCTCTCAACAGATTTCTATGAGTTGTTTTCTATTGATCAATTAATTATGTCAATGATTCATTAGCTACTATCAGCTGTAATTCACAGCTGTTTCCAATATATAAGTAAAGAAATTGGCGCCTAACTTTTCTTATGAATTTTCGTTTTAATTATCTGAACAGTGAACTTTGTCAAAATCGTAATTTTGGAGCTACGATTGTAGACGAACTATAGGTTCTGTAGATGATCTGACCAAAAAAGGTACGAGTTCGATCTTGATACTTGTACTTCACGTTTGAACGAGTATTTTCTGACTTTCCGTTCTCGAGATCATTCGAACGGAAAATGACCACTTTGATGCGTACGTCGAGTAAGTAAAAGAAAAAAAAAAAGAAAAAACTAGATGGTATTCGAGTTTCGACTCGAATACGAAATGCGGTGCGAAGCACGAAGCTTTCGAATTATCGACAGGACGACATTTTCGAGAAAACGAAAATTCGATTTTCTAAACTATTATGATCGTTATTTTCACTTGAATTAGCTACTGCCTTTGTACGATAGACAGTTTTACTTATCAATCGAATTCGAGAAATTACTTTTCTAACTAGTCACCTCAAATAGGTCATGAGAAAAGTTAAAAGTTCCATAATAAAATTCATCCCCACGAGAACCCTATGAAAGTCGAGGAAAACTGTTCTAAACGATGATTTCGATTGATTGATTAATTATCTATGCGACTCATTGTCGATCATCAGCTGCTTTTACAGCTGTTTAACATATGAGATAGAAGAGAGTGGCGCCTAACTTTGTTTTGTATTGTCGATTTTAATTATCTCAAAACGAAGAATGCAATATTTGTCATTTTCGGTAGCTATTTCTGAGAAAACTAAAAGTGCTTTGAGAACAAAATCAATGGATGCTCTTAGTTCGATATCGATACTAGTACATCGCCTTTGCACTACTATTTTTGGAGTTTCTGTTTTGAAGATAATCGCGAGAGAAAATTACAACTTTTAAAGTGAAATTAATTATCTCGAAGCTTGAAAAACACTAAGTCCTTAAAAGTTGGCTGTTTTTGGACGTTATTTGTAAGCGAGCGGAACATGTTTTCGTCGATTTGATACAAAAAGGTATCAATTTCGTGTCGATATTTTTACCTCGCGTTTGAACGAATATTTTCTGACTTTCCGTCCTCGAGATTATTCGAACAGAAAATGACAACTTTTTTGCGTACGTCGAGAAAGTAAAATAAAAAAGTAATAAAAAAAAAAAAACTCGCGCACGACTACATAAATGCTGTGCTTCGCACCGCATTAAAAAAAAAACTCGCGCACGACTACATAAATGCTGTGCTTCGCACCGCATTAAAAATATATTCTATTATAAAACAATGTTCATACTACTGCTCCACAAAATAACTGTCTCTTCATCTAGCATGAGATACATTTAGTTCAACACTACATTCATATTCTATGAATTAATTATATGCATATGTTGTCTTTGAAAAAAAATATCATTCTGTTTCTCAGTAAAAGAGCCGTATTTTAGTTTTAATGATGCCATTGTTCTAAACGGACGCCTCTCTCTATTCAGTAGTATATCCAACAGATTTTTGTGTGTTATTCTGCAAATTATCAACTAAGTAATGGCGCAGCGTATATAGTAGCGAAGACAAGAGATAATTATCATTAGCTATCAGTTATACGCAGTTTTTTCTTAAAGAATGGTCACATAAACATATCAGAACAATCGTGTAAGTGTCTATCTTTCTTTGTTTTTCTAATTTATGTTCTGTGGATTATTCAAGGATAATGCTTAAAACAAAATTTCTGAGTGAACATTTCCAACGATCCTTAATCATACAGTAAGATTTGAAACGAAAAAACAGAAGATAAACTTTTCCGCCTTCCAATTAGAAATATTAATCGAAAAAGCATAGTGCTCTAGGTAGGCAGGAAGATCACAAAAGCTTAATAATGTGTGTGATGTGTTACCAAAGAAACTTTGAAACGATACAGACAGACATAGAAGGAGGACCTTTATCAATGGTGACCTTTTTGTATTTTTTAGTTTTTTATCCTTTAATATGCTTTATCAAAAAAAGAACAAAAGATGCTGCGTGAAAGACTTTCCCATTTACAATGCAAAGCGTATTGTATACATAAACTCTTAGTTTTCAAAAGAGACCGACTTCTATGTGACCATACTTCGATCCGGCGAAAACGTATGTTCACATAAAAGTATCGTTCATGTACGCTCTGAAATTTTATGATTTCGTAAATGTATGCATTTAGAATTCCTATTCTAGGAATTTAGATTCATTTAACATTGTAATACTGAAAAAAACTTATTTGTATTATCAGATACATTTCAATCTATAACTTCTTTTTCCTGATGTATAATATATACAATAGACGCTGCACGAAGCAATGCATATCATTTTATTTTTTCTTTCTTCAGTTCAACCACCATATTAGTCTGCTATACACGTTAATTTAATCGTTTAGTAAGCTTTCAAACATACAAGCCTTTGGGTCGACGAATTTCAACGTATACTGAACGGTCATAGATGACCGCCAAAACAGTCTTGATCTTAATGTTCTAGATTATTGTATTTATGGGAGACTACTGCTGATTCAATGCAACACAATAAATTAAAAAACTATGATTTATTAATTGAAAAAAATAAGAAGATGAATATGTCATGTATCAATAAATCATCTTACATGCAGCGTCAAAAACTAGTCACATAAAATTTTCTCTATTTCGCAAAATTGTATATGCATATACATAATAAGCTTTGTCTGGTGAAATGTAGACTTTTTTCATACTAAATTTTTCGGTATGTTTTCCTATCTAAATAAAGCATATTACAAGATGAACAGGTAAACTACAAAACGATACAATCTATTATGGCCAACCTATTGTTATAAAAAATACAATCTCCGCCGAATTTTACAAAGTGATTTAAAATTAGTTGTAGGCTGAAGATATATCTATTCAAAATCTATTGCTCAAACTGTTCTTCTGAG